GCTGAACATCTTTCAGGATGTATTGATACAGCTTGTTTTACAAATGCTCCTCCAGTCCAGCAAGTCAAAAGATGGGTCTTTTCTAGGTTTGGTGGTATATCTTTCAAACTAGAAAACTTATTTAAAAGCAATAAAATCTATTTTTATACCCGATAGACAAGAGAATGGATAGCTGTTGGTGATCAGTTTGGGAAATGGTTTCAATGATGTTGTCATTGATTTATTTTGAGGAAATTCAGCATTTGGCAAAACACCACAGAATCTGAAACTGCAGCATATTGTAACTATTTCATCACGTTGAAGCGCTAGCTTGGATGACTTGTATATTAAGGGCAGTCTAGGTGGCTGCTTTCCATCCCACAGCAAGTAATACTCTGTTGTTTTGCTGTTGGCCTTTAAAGTATACGAATGGGGGTCTTTGCTCTCATACCTTAGGTGAAAGTTCTCTGAACTGCAGCGCTGTGTGTTCCACACATGGGAATTTTACCACTAGGATTTATTTTTCTGTCTACTAGAAACATAGTCTCCTGCTACAGTTCTATTGACTGGAGACAGAGTCTTGCTCAGTTACTACTTTTCCTCTCCCTGGAATTATATATGTAGAATATACGCATGAGCCAATATTCCCACTCAGTGTGTTGATGACATTGTGGCATCTCTTAAGGACTGGTAATTTGCGTGGTTTGTCTGTTCATCCTGACTGTGAGAAGTTTGCTGTGATTGACAGGATGAGTTTATGTAATTTTACCTGTAATTTTTAGCTTTTTTTTTTGAGACCATAATTTGTCTTTGCATTGCTACACTGCCAGATGGCAAAGGTAGCTCTGTCTGCATCTTACAAAATCACAGTAGGAATTTCAGAATGTCATCTCCATGGCCAGAAACAGAGCTTGTCGGTAGGGTGGTACGTATGGGCAAAACCTTTCCAAGTTTGGTGGAAGACTGATTGACTTCGGGGTCTCTGATTTCACCCTTTCCTTTCTAGCTGTGTGAATCAATTTGATCTTTCATACTAGGCTTAAAAGCCACTCTGTCATTCAAGCAGTCACCTTAATTTTAAGATCACTTCTGTATGGTTTTTGCTTTTCTTTCCTTACCTTTGTTTTTCCTTTTTTGTGTGGGAGGAAAGAAAACTTGGTCAGCTGTTAGTTTCATATAAAGACACTGACACGGAACAGGTTTCACAGCATTTTACGAAGATAACCCAGCAATGCTGAAGAGGTGCTCTAATCCTGCAATAAATAACAGTGACAAAACAAAAAAATGGAATATCCATGTTTTCTGATTGGTTTTCAGACATGCTTTAGAAAATGAATGGAAAATGTTGAGTAAAATTTAGATGCTTGAGGGTACTCGTTGACTCTTGACATAAACACCTAGCTGTTGCTGTGTTTTTGTATGTCTGCTCAATCTCTCTCTCACAGTGTGTTTGTTGCCTTATTTGTCTGGCTTTGACAGTGTGTCAGTTGTGATTAGGACAAACTGGAAACTAGCTATCATGTGTGATTGCATCATAAAATCCCAGTTCATTGAGACATAAATGGAAACATTGAGTAGGATCAGCTGCTGTTGAGACTGAGAGAGGGTTGTTTCCTGGCTTGTAGTTGCCAGTTGTTCTGCTGGGGAGCAGGCAATTCAGTAATAGGCGGCTCAGCACGCCCAGCTCTGGCAAGTATCTTCCCCCTGCATTTGTGTCAGCATGCCTGGGAATCCTGAAAAACCCAGTGCATCCAGTCGTGAGGAGCAGTTTAGTGAAACGGGATCATAACCCTTTCTGTGGCAAGGTGTGATGACTCTGTAATGAAATATTTTGAGTGTTCATTTCTGCAATGGAAAAAAAGACTTTTCATGCTTTGTCTTGAGGACCCAAACCAGCCAACTCCTCAATTCATGGAACAATGTGAATGCTACATTTGATTCCACCGGCTATTGTAGCTGATGTCTAAAATCTCAATACTAGCATACTAGCAATTACTAGTTCAATACTAGTTCATACTAGCAATTACTAGTTTATACTAGCAATTGGTGAAGTTGTTTTTAACTTAGTTCCAGTTGTAGTTCTGTTTTGTCTAGTATTTTGGTTTGGTGTTACTAAATTAAGTGAAGGCTCTGCATCCTTGGAATTCAGAAAGGAAAATATCCTGGTGTTTGTTGTTTGATTTATTTGCTTTATATTACAGTTTATTTAATCAACATCAGGTATCTGCTGTGTTGATAAAGTTTCTAACATAGTTAAATTGGAAGTTAGAAAAAATGCTAAAAAACTCCTTTGGCTACAAGCTAGGTGAGAGATCAAGGTAGAACTCAGAATCCTTATTATGACTGTGCAAACACTGTATTTGTAAATATATCATCCTCTGTGCTGCAGATCTGATAGAGATTAATGAACCCTAGCTCGACGTTCCAAAGTTAGTATTTATCTTCTGGAATTATTAAAGATCACCTCACAGAGGACTATATTACAGGGGCAGAACAACCACTCTTGCTCTGTCTCTATCCTCCTTGCTTATTCCCTTCTAGACTGTACTGGTAGTGGGCATCTTCCAGAGATGCTCGGATTCTTTTTGCTCTGCACTGAAGATTTCTGCTTGTTAAACAACTTAATCTTTCTAGGAGATAAAGAATAAACTGTTAACCACAAATCATACCTCCTTTGTAGGCAGACAGAATTCACAGTTATGCAAGCATGTTTTTGTGAAATCTGGAACAGATTGGACAATCACACTAAGCTACAGCCTCCAAAATGCACATAATGCTAATGCAGTTGGTGCACGAAGGTTCTTTTATGGACTGTTCTACTCCTAATGTGGCTCTTCTGCATCTCACTTCTTTTAAATTTCTTAGAAGAGATGCCTTGAGTCATTGCAAAATGGGCAGATCTTGGAAGAGATCTGGGTAATTGTTCACAAAGAGTTTCTCCCCAGTTACATACCTCTGTTAGTTTATTAGCAAGTCCTCTGACTATGAACACACTGGGTCAGATCAAAGAACCAGTCTGTAGACCAGTCCAGTATCCACTCTTCAGTAGCTATTAATAGTAGACATTGAAAAAAAAGTGTGCACTCTCTGAAAATTTGCAGTTCAGGGACTCCTGAGCAGAATTGTTATCTGTGCTATTTTTTCAGGCTTTTGATGGAGAGATTTTTGTCTAGTGGCTTTCTGAGCACATTTTTGAACCCTCATAGACTTTTCTGTCTGCAACTGTAGCAGGAGTTCCATGCCTTAACTAGGTTTTACAGGAAGCAGCATCCCTCTCTTGAAGATTCCATCTCACAATTTTATTGGATGCTCCCTAGTTTTTGTATTATGAGAAACAGTGAACAATTTATCTACATTTACCTTTTCTATGCCGCTGACATCCCCTTCTTATTCTCTTTATGGGTTGATGAGTCCTAGGCTATACATTCAGGTTTTGTAGTGGAGCTGTTCCATACCCCTGATCATTTTTGGCATCTTTCTCTGCACCTTTCTTATTCTGTGATGATCTTTTGGAGATGAGGGAACTAGGACCGCGCATCCTGTTCAGGATGAAGTGGGCCGTGGGGTTTTCTTTCTTTGTTCTCTAAACCTTTCTAAATTAATTTGTTACCACTATGGAGCATTATGCTCTGATGCTTTTATACAACTAGCTTTAGTAAATCTAAAGAGCTTGTTCCTGCGCTGCAATAGCTACAGACACAGCCTAGCACTGATTAAATGACCAGAGGACAGGACAAATAATAGCTTTGCAGCCTTAACTGAGGCGGTCAAATATTCTTAGTGCCATGCTGTCGAATACTTAACTTCAAAGTGAAGACTTTGAATATTTCTGCTCCTTCAGGAAGTTAGAAAAAGTGATTCTTACCCAAAAAAACCTTTCAGTTATTAAGATTGCTGGTGAGTTACTGTCAAATCTGCTTTCCATTTATATAA